AGGAGGCAGCTCTTCCCCAGTCGTATTCTGAATGCCTTCAACCTGAGGGGCTTATCTATCGGCACTATATCTGACAATGTTCTGGTGTTCTTCATCATGTTTAATTATTCTATTCTGGTGCTATCTGGCAGTGTTTTACTGCTTTCAGTGACTAAATGTTCGGAAGTAGCCCACCTCTTCTTCTTCCTAATCTGTCCTCATCTGGAAACTCAGCTGAAACCTGTCCACCATGGTGTCCTGCTAGTATTTAAAATACTCATGGCACAGCTTCCAGAATCACAGCAATACATAAGCCACCACAGTATGGAAAACTGACAGATGAGTGGTGGACATGCATATGAGGCAATTCAAAATACCATGGCTTAGGTCAGGCACACCTTAGTCCTCAAATTGGTATCTTTACTCTTGAACACTCTGAAGAGGTCTTATGCAGCAAATTTTCCTAGTGTAATAAGTCATGTCATTTTTTGACTGCTTCCATGATTGTTGATTGTGGATCCAAGCAAAACGAAGTCTTTGGTAACTTGAATCTTTTCTCCATTTATTATGATAATCTTATTTATTGGTCTACTTGTAAGGATTTTTGTTTTCTTTACACTGAGGTGCAACCCATGTTACAGGGCTGTGGTCTTTCATCTTCACCAATAAGGATTTTAAGTTCACTTCCCTTACAGCAAGCAAAGTTGTACCATTTTGCATATTACAGGTTGTTAATGCATTTTCCTTCAATCCTGTTGCCACACTCTTCTCATATAATCTGGCTTCTCAGATTATTTGCTCAACACACAGACTGAATAAGAATGGTGAAAGAATACAGCCCTGGTGCATACCATTCCTGGTTTTAAATCATTCAGTAGTCTCTTGTTCTGTTTGAACAACTGGCTCTTGGTCTACATACAGGTTCCTCATTAACACAATTAAATGTTCTGGAATATCCATTCTCCACAATATTATCTATGGCTTCTCATGATCCACAGTTGAGAGCCTTTGCAGTCAATTAAGCAATAGTACACATCTTTCTGGTATTCTCTGCTTTCTGCCCCATCAGCAAATGAAGATCCCAAAAGCTGTACTACATTGGTGTCATCACAGTCAACTCTACTTGGAGGAGGCAGTTCTTCCCAAATCACATTTTGAGTGCCTTCCAATCTGAAGGGTTCATATTCTGGTAAGACATCTGACAACAGTCGGGTGCTATTCTTCATGCTTTCATTTCACAGCATGATATCTGACAATATTCTACTGCTATTCATAAGATTTTCCATGCCTAAATATCCATAGTTCAACTCTCCTTCTTCCTGGTCTGTCTTACTCTGGAAGGTACACTGATACTTGTCCACAGTAGATGACCCTGCTGGTATTTATAATACTGGCAGCATAGATTCCAGCATCACAGCATCACACAAGCTACTACAGTATGACAACCTGACAGATAAGTTGTGATTTTTCAAGATTATTCACCATGAATTTAGTCATTTCACAAATATTTATCAAAGTGAGTGCTAAGCAGTGCTAGAGATACAGCAGCAAACAAGAGACAAAAACTTAGCCTTCATGTTGCTTAGTTTATTGGAATATACTATCACTGACTTCATTTTGTTTATCTGTTATTTTTTTGGTTATTTTTAATGGAACTTTGCATTTTAGTAATATTTTTATTTTTCTCTTTTATATTCTTGAGCTTACATAGCTTTTACTTTTCTTCTACTGTTGATCGTCATTAAACAATCTCTAAAAGAGATCCTATTTCTCAAATTTGCTCAAGACTATAGAATACTGTATACTTGTTCTGCAAAATATACTTCTGAAGGGGGAGATAACTTATCTCATGATGTTTTTATTTAACCTACCTTTGTACATTTTGTTTAATTTGAATGTTCTACAAATATCTCTCCTTTAATTTTCTCTTCCCATGGATCTGTGACTCCAGCCTCTCCTAGTTTTCCTCTTTCCTAAGTTTTACTCCTCTACTGTTCTTTCTTTAAAGAAACCGTACTCCCCAACAATTCACACTCTATACCCTCTGAATGCATTTACTACATATGTGGCACTGTAGGATTAGCACTGGACTGAGAACCACAAGGTCTGCAGTTTCAGTTCACCAGCTGATCCTTGGAAACCCTGTACAGGGTTGCTTTGAATTGGAACCGACTCAATGGCACTTAACAGCAACAGCATACTGGTAAGAGGTGCTCTGGTGGCACAGTGGGTTAAATGTTGGACTGCTAACTGCACTGTCAGCAGCTGAAACCTACCAGCTTCTCTGCAGGAGAAAGATGAGACTGTCTGCTTCTGTAAAGATTTACAGCCTCGGAAACCCTATGAAGCAGCTCACTATGTGTCAGAATCGATTCAATGGCAGCAGGTTTTTATTTTTTTTAATACTAGTAACAAATAATTTGCTTTTAGTTATCATTGTCTCCAGTGCCTAGAACAGTGCTAGATAAATTTTTGAAATGCTGAGTGAATAAATTCCATTTACATTTCAATCCTGAATATTGTTCCTGTGTTTCAGACTCATACTATCCATATCTCCAGACCCTCCACATGACATATTCAGCATCCATGCCTAAATCTTAACCTCACTGGCCCTCCTTTTATCTCTTCTAACATAAAAATAAAACAAACAAAAAAAAAAAACAACTAACAAACAAATCTATTTCTCTTCTAATAGCTTCTGTCTGGAAGAATTATGTTAGCATCTGTCAAATTATCCTCCCTCTTACTCCCATTTCATTTTTTGTTTGGCATAAGTACAAATAGCTCATATCTGAATCTAAAATCAGGAAATGGTCATGAATTTTATTTTGCCTATAAATATTAAGGCACTCTCTCTAGCTCAATGATCCTTAACTGGAGGTAGCACAAGCTGAGGAATGTGCAGGATCTGTTGGTAGTCCAAATGGAGAGGGTAGTACAAACCTGCACTCTGTGGAGACCAGGGAGGTACTTGTCAGGAGCCCCATGTAACAAAAACTGTCCATCCTAAAATGCCAAGATTGCCACAGAAACAATTCACCTAGCTTTTTTCCCCCTTGAGCCACAAGATGGCAATAAAGTCTAAGAAACTTTTGAAAGATTGCTTTCCTATTTTTTTGATTGAAAAGGATGAAAAACATTTTTAAATGAGGCTATGCATTGCAACTACCTTTTGTAATGGAGATGATGAATGATCCTTTCCAAATAAAAATTAAAATTAGATAAATAGAACAAAAAGTCCCACACTTGTGCTGATAACCTTATTCTGCTAAAAGGAGCAGACCTGACAAATTCTTCATTTCTTAATAACTTCATCTTTTATAAGGTCAAGTAAATAGTAGCAGCAATGGCATATTATACCACACAGTCATAAAGCTCTGGTGCCAAGTCTGAAGAACTAAGACATCAAACTAGCATCTTTTAAAAATATTCATTGAATATAAAACTGATGATCTTGTCTGGAAACCTTCATTCAATTCACAATAAAATATTTTTTAAAAAACCAAAAACAAGTAACAAGCAGCGACAATGATGAATAAGCCTACTTTTCTTGAGTGGCTTATTCTAAATTAGCTCCTATTCTAAAATGTTCTAAAATTGGCCCAGATTATGGAAATAAGAACTATGGTATTTCCCATTATGACAATGTGAAAATACATAATATTCTGAAACTAGGTTATGGTATGCTTAATTAAGACACCAATTATATAACTTTCAACAAAATGCTTATTTATTTTGAAAGCTTAGTTTACTAATTTGTTCCATAGAATGCATTTAGCTATTAAAGCATTAATAAGTCAATCTCTCCTTCCTAGGAGAGAAGCCTAGAAGTCAAGAACATTGTGCTCTAAAATCTAACTGTTTGGGTTTCAGTCTGAACTCTGGCATTTTGCATGTCTGTGACATTGGACAAGTTACATTACGTTTCTGTGACTTGATCTCCTAATTTGAAAATGAGAATTGCAAATTACAATAACATAGTTTTTGTATTAATTTACAGAAATTACACATATACAGAGAATGTTGTTGTTAAGTGCCATCAAGTTGATAACAACTCATAGCGACCCTGTATAGGGTTTCCAATGAGCAGCTGGTGGGTTTGAACCACTGACTTTGCAATTAGTAGTCCAGGGCTTATCCTAAAGTGCCACACCAGGATTCCATAAGGACAAGAGTCCTTTGTATAAGCTGATACACACACACACACACACACACACACACACACACACCCCGGGACTTTTTATAAAAGTTTGTGGTAAAAATAGCATTTAAAGATAATGGATTTTTTCAAAAACTTTTGAAGCCCCCTCTTATATGTTGTTAATAAATACACATATAAATAAAGTTTCTAAAACTTTACAGATAAAAAAATCTATCTTTTAATTCCATTTTCCCATGATCTTTTCAAGTCCCCTCCTGTGTGTATGTGTATATCTATAGCCATATAAGCCTGGCACGTAACAAACATTAAATAAATGTTAGTAGTGGTAATTGCTGTCTATTATCATCATTAGTATTATTTACTCCTAGTTTTGGAAAATTAGTGCTAATACAGGGATCCCTTAGGTTAGAAATGAAGAAAGTGTTATCAGAGTTGAATCATGGCAACCGTATTTGATATCACAGTGGTGGTGGTGATGTGCCGTGGAGTCGGTACTGACTCATAGCGACCCTGTTCAGGGTTTCCGAAGCGGTAAATCTTTACAGGAACAGAAAGCTTCATTTTTCTCTCATGGAACAGTTTCAAACTGCTGACCTTCAGGTTCGCAGCCTGATTCGTAACCACTACACTACCAGAGCTCCTTTAATATCACAGTATCTAGATACTAATGATTTCTAGAGAAACAACCCTAAGGAAGCAAATCTCACTATGTGATGTGCCTTTGCAGGCTCCAGATCAATACATCTAAGTTACTTTCCAATTAGGGATCCTGTAGGATAAGCAAGCACTGGACTTTTTGAACCACAACCATAGAATATCTTCGCATATAAGATGAAAATATTCAAGAAGCACTTCTTACCTGCGTAACTGAGCATTTTCACTTCTTAGTGGTTGCATGGCTAGTGCTATTTCAACTTGGATATTTTTGTCTCCACTTGTTGGAAGCAGTGATACGCATGCCTCTACTTCTGTAACCAACCTCTGAATTTCTGAATCCCCTAAAAGAGGCAGAAGAAATCAGCAAAAAAAAAATTTAGTAAATTGTTTGGGGTAAGGTATGCAAGGAGTCCTGGTGGTAGAGTAGACTTAATTGGCAGTTTGACTCTGGTAGCTTCTTTGAAGCAGAAAGATGCAGTCTGCTATTGAAAAGACTTGCAGCCTTGATAATCCAATGGGGCAGTTCTACTCTGTCCTATAGGGTTGATATGAGTTGGATGTACTCTATGGCAGTAGCATTTTTAAAATTTTTACTAGTATAAATTACTGGTAGTGTGTCATGGAGTTGATTCCAACTCATAGAGACCCTTTTCATAGGGTGTCCAAGGCTGTAAATCTTTATGGGAGTAAAGTCTCACCTTTTTTCCACCAAGCATCTGGTGGACTCAAACTGCCGCCCTTGCAGTTGGCTGTCCAATTGTCACCCACAACGCTACCAGTGCTCCATTATGTATTAATAAAAAAGAAAATTTTTATAGATTTTATATGTAGTTACAAGTCACTCCTCAGAAACCCTATACAGGGTCGCTATGGGTAAGAACTGACTCGATGGTACTCAGCAGCAACATAAATATAGCCAAGTTTGCTGGTAAGTGCTAACTCATAACCACTCTGCATAGGGTTTCAACTGCCAACCTTGCTGTTAGCAGTCCAGTGTTTCCAGTGCTTATTATCCTAAAGCACCACACCATATTTGCTATAAATAAATTCAACTCAATTATTTACAAGTCCCATTTTTCTTTTTCTTGCTGCCTGCTGTTTGTTTACTCAGAATTCTAAAGCTATTAAGGTTAATAAATTAAAGATTAAGCAAAATCCAGAGGATTAAAATAGCGATTGTCTTCAGTTAAAGAATCTAGCAGGAAGGTAATTTCCACATACCTATTTAGCGTAGTGGTTACGAATCGGGCTGCGAACCGGAAGGGCAGCAGTTCGAAACTACCAGCTGCTCCGCGGGAGAAAGATGAGGCGATCTGCTCCCGTAAAGATTTACAGCCTCGGAAACCCTATTCAGGGTCGCTATGGGTCGAAACCAACTCGACAGCACTTAACAACAACAACAACAACATAGCTGCGTGGCACTGTAGGTTAATGTACCAGACTGCAAAGCCGTTTGAACTGCAAGGTCGGTTGTCCAGGCTCGCCAATGGCTCCTCGGAAACTCTATACAGGGTCTCTATGGGTTGGAACTGACTCGACAGCACTTACCAACAACAATAGCTGCTCCTCAGCAACCCTATACAGAGTCACTATGATTCAGAACTGACTCGATGACACTTAACAACTAGTTCATATTAACCAGAGGACAATATTGGAGTCCTATCATTCCTTACAATGAGCTCTGGTAGCGTAGTGGTTACGAATCGGGCTGCTAACCTCAAGGTCAGCAGAGTTCAACAGCACCAGCTGTTCCGCAGAATAAACATAAGGATTTCTGCTCCCATAAAGATTTATAGCCTTGGAAACCCTACGCAAGGTGGCAGAGTCAGAACCGACTCCACGGTATACCACCACCATCATTACTTACAGTAGTAACATTCACAACACACCCTTAATTCTGGTATAAACAAATAATTTACCAAAGATGACTGATTTAGTAAAATAGTGAAAGTCTGCTAAGATTAGGTTTCATTATTTAATTTTATAATAGATTTAATCTAAACAGACACAGCTCATTTGATGTGACATCCTGCTGTTAGTTGTGTGAAGTGGATGTTTTTGGAGGTGACAAGCAGATACAGGTGGAAGGCAGATATTATTCTCTTTATTTTTGGTTCCCTTAAAATATCTGTGAACTGACACATTTAAGAATGATAATGTTAACTTTGATATCCAAAAGAGGTAGAAAATATGTTCTACGTTAGAAAAATTGCTCAAGCCTCAGATGCCTCATCTATAAAACAGGAGAAATAAGTATCACACAGGGTTGCTGTGAGGATTAAGGAGATAATACGTATAAACCAGCATAGTGCCAGGCACATAGTAAATAAGTGACAGCATCACTCAACGACTGCTATGTTGATATTATCACTGTCACCATGATGTAAGTATCCAGATAGAGAATATTAATAAATTAAAGGTCTGAAAACAGCAATTTTAACAGGCTGACAATCTGGATTAATGGTGTTACTATTTTCCTGTAGCTACACTTGAATTTGTTGTTTTTGCGTCAGTTGGCAAATATTATTCCATCAGTGCTTCCACAATCAGTTTCCCAAGTTAACAAATCTGTCATTTACTCCAAGAAAAATCCATTGCTTTAGAAAATACAGAAATAATGAAAACTAATGAATACAACCTGGCTCAAATATCACTCAAGTCCACCTAAGACATTTTTCATGATTTAATTGAATAAAAATCTTGAAAGTAAACAGTACAAGGTTTTGGCTACTTCACTATGATCTCTTAAACAAAGTTAACAGTGGGTTGGTTACTAAACAGGTGATGGGGTGAAAATTTCAGCATCCTTTTAAAGTGGGAAAAATAATCAGCCCATTCCAGGTAATTAATTATTCATCTTTTGGGTGCCTCTGACCCCTAAATTTTTATCTCCACAAATTCTCTTTGGTTAAATCTTTTCAAAGGCTCTTTGGATCAAGTAGAATGAATATATACTTCCAATAAAAAACTGTCTGATATTCCCTAACACATTTCTGGTGTGGTGCTGTGGGTTAATGCGCTGGACTGCAAAGTCGTTTAAATCTCAAGGTCGGTGATTCAAGCTCACTAGCCGCTCCTTGGAAACCCTATATAGGGCTGCTATGGGTCGGAACCAACTCGACAGCATTTAACAATAATAACACCACCACATTTCAAAACCACAGGTTGGGGGAGGGGTGTTTGGCATCAAAACCTTAAAAAATAAGCATAAAAGGACTTTCTTTTTTGGCTTAAGACATAGTTTTCTGAAAAAACACCCCAATTCCATATCGATATTCTAAGTTTAAATGAAGGCTAAATAATGACACTGCTATTTAGCATACCACTATACACGAGTCCTGTTGTAGGGCTATAGGATAAGCATTGAACTGCTAACATCAACTTCAGCTGTTCAATCCCACTAGCAGAGAAAAGATCAAGCTATTTGTGCCCATAAAGATTCATCTTCTCAGAAACCCTACAAAGGGTCACTAGGAGCTGGAATTAAAACGATGGCAGTGGGTTGGGTTGAGTTTTTGGTTTATGCTACAGAAAAATATAAAGAATGAGCTTATCTACCTTGTTCTGCTACCAAGGCTTTGAGCTCTCCCAACAAATACTTTAGAGTTCTAATTTTTTCAGTAGTCTGATTCACATTTTTTGCCTTGTGTGAATCCTTAACTGTCCTTGCCTCTCGCATCCATACGTTTAAATCCTTTCCTTCACTTGTGGCTTCTCCGCTGTGTTCCCTGGCACATTTTTCTTCATTAGTGGCCAAGAAAGCCTGCAGTGATCGAGTGGGGCTTTGGTGTGTCTGATTGTCCAGATTAGTATCTTTTCCATGAGAATGCAACAAAGTCATATATGTTTGAAAACACTTTAGTAGGTCTGCTTCCTTAGGAACTGCTTGTAGTGGCCGAATTCCATTAGCAAGACCTAGATGCTGACACGTTGGAACAGCTGATTCATCAGTTCTGAGTAGGCTGCAAGGAACTCCAGGACTGCTGTTGAAGGAATCCTTTGGACCATCAGTAGAATTCACAGAAACTGTTTTACCTTCTGATTCAAACTGGTTATCACTCTCAGTCTGAGCTTCCTAAAGAAGGAAAAAAATAAGTTACATCTTTAAAAGAGCAAGCACTGAGCTTTAGGCATTGATCAGAGTAAATTCAAGCCAGTAATATTAGAAAATGACTTTCAGCATGATGGAGTTCCAGATGATCAGTAAGTAGGCTGGATTTCTCCTGATAAAATAAACAGTGTAATTTTTGAAAGTTTAAGTAGTTCACTTGGCAAGATGGATACATTATAGAGCTGTGACTAAGAAGATTCTTTGCAAATACCTCAAACTGTTTAAAGTCATCAAACTTTAGTTGTGTTCAACAAGGCAATTTGGGAAATTTTAAGGAAATAAGCTCAGGCATACATAAACATACTTATAATCAAAATATTACAGCAGCAAAATCCTGCCTGTTATCAAAATGTCTACCCATAGATGAACAGTTACACCAGCTTATGGTATATCCACTTAATAAAGCAATAACCACATATTAAAAATCTGCAAAAGGTCTATTTTAATAGTGAAAGAGGTTTACAATAAAGTAAAATGTTAAGTGACAAAAAGTATAAAAAGCTGCATAAAATTTAATTATAACTGTATTTAAAAACAAACCTAAAAAAATCCTGACAAAAAGATAAAAA